TTAATCAGATAGCCCAACACTTATCACGTCCAAGCCAAGCGCATATGAGGAAACTTTAACGGGTCACTACCCGCATACCTGCCAATGGGCAATTAGCGCAGAAGCGGGCAAATATCCTCGATAGGGGAGCCGTTAATTGTCATACGTATGCAGTACCATAGCGGCTGTATCCTGAATGAATGACAACGTTCACGTTCCAGATATTAGCACGGATTAGAATGAATACTTGTCGTGCCGCCGATGAATTTGTTTATTTTCCTGAGCTCTCTGGAATCCATCTCCAGAGATAAGAAGCAGCAACCAAAAGGGGGTAATTATAGTGGGCCTTCGTCAAGCAATTGTCAGAGGTCATTAGGTCGCCAAGGTTTAAGAAATAACAATCGAAAAAAGAGGAGGCAATTGCAGTGGTAGGATTGTCTCCACTCCTCCTGCAAGCATTCGAAAGCTCTGGACAGTAAACTTATTGATCCGGTGCTCGGCAAGTCTTCTCTCCTGCATCCTGTTACTACTGCAACTACCTGTTTATGAATTATACGCTTATCTTATTGTCTCTTAGAATAGATCCTCTCGGGCATCCGACACGTCAGGCGAATAAAGTTATTTTTCCAGTGATCAAATCTGAGTCTTCTTAATGAATAACACTGACAATTGCTGAAAGGCTGTGTGCAAAAATCAACACAATTTGATTTAAAAGAATCCAAAAATAAGCGAAGAAGAGAGGTCGCGGCGGGAGGGACTTGTCCAAATTGTCTTATGCGCTTCTTATAACCTTCCAAAGAATTGCAGTCACAGGCACACCTGCATCGGGGGGCACAATCCCGTCGAGATATCTTGTACTTTGCCTGTTAATTAGCTCGACCGCTCTGTAGCGCACACGAATTTCTGCATAAGAAAGGTTCAGACTTCACAGGGAAAGATTGCCACAGGCAAATAAATATACGCCTTATGAACACAAAACTAAACCATCATATTTCATAAGGCAAGTGAAAATTCGTCAGCCCGTAATAAGTCGGGTCCCATAATTGTTCCGAATTCCCTTGGACTACTGAGTTTCAAGCTTACCTTAACCTGAACGAGACGTTTGCGGAAGACGCGGAGAGCCAGAACTGTTCCAAAGATGTCGATTGTCTGTGGGTTTGTGCGCAACTGATCCAACAGTACCTGTGCGCAGATGAGAGTGCCAGTTCGTCCAACGCCGGCACTAAAAATAGATTTCCAATGTATGAGAAAAATATAGTAAAACCCACTGAGATGCTACCTTACGGCATAAATCGCTACGTGCGGACATCCGAGGTGAAGGAAACAACTATATTTTAAAGTGCAAATTGTGCCGGGGAAGCAAAAACAGCACTAGGAATTATGAATGCACAAAAAGCGAAAACTGGGACAAACAAAGTTCTTTTCTTATTTAATTTGAGCATTCGGATCAGCAAAACTGGAAGCGCTCGAAAGAAGCTGGCGACCGTTCGGCTAGAACAAATCTATACTTCTCCATTTATCTGTTTCTGGACAGAAAACAAAACGCTAGTGTCTTTCTTATATGAACCCATAAACAGAATATGAACACGGCAACTGATCGCAATAGTATTAGTCCGTGTGGCAAATCCCATAGAAAGCATAGTTAAGGTTTGTATCAAAGGGTGGAAAAATCTTAACGAAAGTTGTAGGGTCCCCAAAGCGGGCTGCATGAGAGATGTGCTGCACCAGCAGAGGGAAGGGGGGTATGGCAGGTGTTCTTCATATAACGCGCCAATAAAAAATGAGGAATGCAGGGAGCTGTGGTGGCACGCATAGGCAGGGGCATCGGCCGCTTCACACGCCTCCCCTCAGGCCGACCTTCCGCATTCTGGACTGTTTTGACACCGAGTTCATGCAGATGAGAGAAAAGAGAATGCGGTAGACGGTGCAAAACTTAAAACTGATTCAAGCGTAATTCACCGTCCCTGCACCGTCCTCTTGCGGAGCGTACTGCAGATATCATCGAAATTGATGATCGTTAGGAGTGCAGATAAGGAGTGTTCTTTCGGTTTATGTTAGGACTAGTAGTAGGGTTAGAACATGGGCATATGTTCCTTCTTCCAAAAACTAAAATATCTTTTGGTAATAACCAGGGTCAGTTTTCCACCAGAAGTTCAGCGTATTTTGGCACCTGCCTCAGACTGTCAGATTGTCTTTGACCAAAAGGCTGATGAAGATGCACGGTTTTGCAAAGCCACCAATTGCCGCTCTCTCACCTTCTCCAGTTTTCCCTGCGCTTCCACTCTCACGTCTAAACGCTGAATTTGCGTAGCTAGCACCACAGGTAGCTGCTCATTGGCAATCACCGGCCTCTTTATCCCGAGGTCCGCCGAGATCAGC